CCTCTTTGTAAAGTGTCCCTTTGTGCAGTTGTTGCCTACCCCAGGATGACCAAAAACAAAGGTGTCTGGTCTGAAGATCTGGCCAAAAGGACCTGCGTGAACAGATTCCATGGTACCAGGTTCTAGATCCACCAGTATAACCCGAGGAACATATTAGCCACCTGTGGCTTCATTGTATTACACGGAGATGAGATCAAGCTGCAGATCGCTGTTTCTGTGGTAGATGCCAATGGGATCGATGCCATGTTCATCACTGATCACCTCCCTAAACTTGACACCAATCTGGTTGTGCACGACTTCCCTCATGGTGAAAATTAAGTTTTAGGGTTTGTTTGTTTTTTTGCTCACCTCGAGTGTGTGTAGGGCAAGAAACTATATATAATTTTTGTCTCTGCAGATTCCAGACTGCATGGATGGAATATGCCCTGGAGGCTGGAGCAGTAAGGTCCGAACGCTGAGGCAGAAAGGTTCTGAGAGGGAGAAAAAGTGGATATTTTCTTTTTGATGACAAATGCAACATAATTCAATTTCTATTTGTCATTCCTGAAATAGCAAGCCATGTGATTGTCAGATTCAAATGACCAATACATGATTTTTGTTTGGTGGTGGTGGTTGTGTGCCATGGAGTAGGTTCTGACTCATAGCAACCCTACATATGTTTGCGTTCTTGTTTGCATTCTAAAATTTGGATTTTATCAATAAAATTCTGTCATCTGAACATAATAGTAACTTTGTTTTGTATTCTGAAATGGAATATATTTTATTTTTCTTGAAATATTACTAATTTTAGGATTTTTAATACAAAGTTTAACAAAAAAAATAATGATAGGAGGATCATCATTTAATTCCCACCAGCCTGGGAAATGTTTTAAAACATATTATTAACTATAATACTTGATTTATGTTCTTCCTCTACCCTTAGTCAATTTTCAACTATTATTAATTTAAAACAAATCATTTTTTTCTGTTCCTGTTTTCAACCTTGTATGTGCATTTACATTTGTTGCTGTTGTTAAGTACCTTAGAGTCAATTCTGACTCATAGCAACCCTTTAAAAGGTTTCCAAGAAGTAACTAGTGTGTTTTAACCTTGAGGTTAACAGTCCAGTTCTTATTGTACAGTGCCACACAAGGACTGCAAATTTACTTTTCTGTTTATTATATCTATCTATCTATCTATCTATCTGTCTATCTATCTATCTATCTATCTATCTATTTTTTTTTTTTCAGTTAGTTCTGAATCATAGTATATAGGGTTTCCTAGGTTTCTATTCTTGTAAAGATTTACAACCTCGGAAAACCCTGTAAAGTGTTGCTATGAGTTGGAACCAACTCCACGGCACATAACCACAACCATCAA